TCGTACTTTCTTTGCCTTGCCCTGTGTTCCGTGAAGAAGGTGAAAGCAAAATAAAAATTTAAGTGCGTTTTGAACCTTCTCCAGTGACTTTATCTGCATCAGATCTTTCAGTGTTATCTTCTTGCTTTGATAACAGCTTTAAAGGTCTCCCTTTTCTCTGCCTCTTGTCCCTTTTTCTGAGCCTCTGTGCTTTTCTGCCTGTCTATTGCCTCGTCACCCTGTTTTTATCTTTAGGGCGTCTGTCCCCTTGAGTTTGCAGAGTAGATAGACTTTTTTAAAAATTACTTTTGGGGGGGGGGTGAGAAGAGAGAGAGAGAGAGAGAAACATCGATTGGTTGCCTCCCTCACATGCCCCAACGAGGGATCGAACCCACTACCTTTTGGTGTACAGGACAATGTTCCAACCAACTGGCCAGGGCTAGATAGGCATCCTATTTAGGTATCTCTCCTCTCCTGCCTATTTGTTATTTTATTTCAAGAATTTCCATTTAAAATGAATTTGTGTTTTTCTCCCCTTCGATAATTCCCAGACACCACCTTGACTGTAATACATTTTTTTCTTTGTTTCTTTTGTTGGTTTGCTTTATTTTATTGTTTTGTCTTTTTTTCATTATTATTATTTTGTCTACAGTAGATATTTATATACCTCAACTGCCAAACTCTATAATGTTTGCTCTGCAGTTTAGTCCAAGCATTTTCCTTCATTTTCTTAACTTTGGAGAGCAAAGCTCACTTAAGCTGTTTTGCAATTCTCTTTGCAAAAATGCTCTTCTCAGTATCATGTGATCCTGCGGGGTGCGTGTTGTGTATTCCAGTGTCTGCAGGTGTCCAGGTTGTTTAGTTTCTGGAGCACTTCTCTCTTGTTGCTTCTCTTCCTTCCTTAATTCCTGCGTGTGGTATTTATTCATTCCAACTCCTAAAGGATGTGAAGCTTCAACAAAGCTGTTTTTAAGTTATTAATAGGTCTAGAAAGAGATCTAGTGAGGATAGCAATGAAAATTTACTTTTAACTTAGGTTTATGGGTTATCTGTGACAATGGGTCTCCACCGTGAAAGGATGGGGCCGAGGGGCCGAGGTGGACTCAGTTGCTGGAGATGCTTTTTCAGAATTCATATGCCCATCCCTTTCCCAGCCGTTTGCCTGGTGGCAGAGTGAAAGTAGGCTGAGAGTTTGAAGAAACCTCTCTAGAATGTTCTATAGCCTCTCACCTGGTGTCTGTCCCCCTCTCAGTTGAAAAACACTCATCAGTGGATTTGTTAGTTAACATAATCTGCCAATGCCATGCTAATTTGAGAGCTGGGTATTTATTTCACTTCAAAACAATAAAATTGTCACATATAGTTCATTTTGTTAGAAGTGAAAACTGAACCTCAGGATTTATTTGCCTAGATAAGGGCATTTTCAAATCAAAACGCAAGAAAGTGCGGTTTTTAATGAGTCATAAGTTCATTTGACGCAAGCACTTTTTCTACACTGAAATACTTAGCTAAATACTAATTAGTTAAAATCTAACTACTTATAAACATGTTGCCGTGGACTGGATAAACTTCAGGATGCTGTAAATAATATGCAAAGTTAATATAGAACAGTTAAATGTATTAATTGTGCTTGTAGGAAATATTTAGAGAACAGAGCAGATTAGAAACAATGAAACTCAGACTCTGAAAGATTAGATTTGAATTCATGTTGTGGCACCTACTAGCTTTCTTGGGCTATGTAGTTCATCTCTCAGGGTCTCAGCTTTGTCTTCTGTGGAATGGTGATGGCTTCTCTCTCATAACGTTGTTGTGAGGATCAAATAAAGTCATGAAGGGGACAGTTCCCAGCATCCAAACATCCAATCAGCATTAATAGAATCTGAATCTAACACCTATAAATTTTTTAAAACATTGTGTGGGTGTGTGCACACATGTGTTTTGTGTGTATGTGCCTTTGAATATGTGAAATGTGTAAGGAATTAAATTTACTATGTTTTTAGACTGTGGAGGTGGGTCATGGTTTTGAGTGTAATGGTTTATGTATGTATATGAGTATATTTCCTGAGGATACCATTTAAAACAAACTTTTTTTTTTAGTTCTGTTGAAGTAGATTCATACAAACCATAAACACGCTAAAAAATGCGCAGTGTCCATTTTACCCTGTTATAGTCATTGTAGAATTCTCCCCCTCTGTACATTTCTCCTTATATTGGACCAGTCCTGGGGGCCCCCTTGGTCCTTATCAAGGCCAGTGACCTGACAGTCATGAATATTCCTACACAGATTTTTCTTTCAAATGGAAGTTGAATATTAGCAGTCAGTCCTGTTTTATGTCCATATCAGAGAGTGTTGAATTTAGTGCCTTGTTATCAAATGTAAACTTTGTGAAAGTTAGTTTCCTTAATGATATGATCACCACATAGATACTGCATGTTAGGTGCTTTATGTACATTACCAATAACACTGCAACAAACTATAAAGCATGTGGCATGCAGTTCTACATATAAGGAAGCTGAGGCTCAGAAGAAGAAATACATTTCCCAAGGTCAGACAACTGTTTAGAAAGAGAGCCAAAAAGCAAGCTCAGATTGATCTGAACCCCAGTGAAGTATAAGGCTGCTACCTGGTCACTGTGACAAATCAAGGTCATGTGCTTTAAGGTATAAAAGAGGTTGGAAATATAATGAGGCCACTTTGGGCCCTAGTTTGGGCAGAAGCCTGCAGGACAGTCAGACAAGGCAATGAAAGGCACGGCCATTGATCCAGCGACAAGGCCCTGGAAGCCTCTGGCTTTCTCTTCTTTTCCCCAAACTTACTATTCTACCATCATGTGGTCTCTCCAGGTATTTCTCAAGGCATTGCTCATCACTTAGAACTGTGCATTTAACTCCTCTCCCCACCCAGTTCCACTGCCTACCCACCCACCTTCGCCTGCAAAAGCATAAAACAGGGTTGTTGTGAGGATAAATGAGTTAATATGTGTAAAGCGTTTAATACAGTACCTGGTACATAGTAAGTATTCAACAAATGTTAGCTACCATTATTTTGATTTTATTGTTAACAGTATTATTATTAGTGGTAGCCAGCTTCCTCAAGTGTCTGAGTGTTCCCTGGCCAGGGGCTGGCTTCATGTGGTTGTTGCCCAGGGTCCCAGGCATGGGCCTGCTCAGTAAGATGTACAGGACAGATGGAGAGAGTTAGTAAGGGAGCGATGTTTCCACCTACAGGCCTGCACAAGGTTTTCTCTGTGCACCAGTTTTTTGTCTTCAGCCACAGAAGCAGCCTGTGAATCCCACTTTCAGACCACATCTTTCTGCCTGGCTTCTTTTCTTTCTGTCTGTGTAGAACACTCATGGTATTGGAGTCACAAACAAGGTTACACAAGAAAGTTTATTCAGTTTGGTGGTTTGCAGCTTATGCCTGCACCTCCCCCTGAGCTCCGGGCCCTCTGCTCCACCCACTGCCGTGTGCGGTGGACAGTTACTCCACCTGCAGAGGCCTCTCTGGTCCCACTCCACACACGCATACTTTTCTTTTTCTATTTAATTCTCTTCTGGTGTTCCTTTATATTGTTTGTCCCCACACATGTCTTGACTTTATATATTTTTAATTAAATTTATTGGGGTGACATTGGTTAATATAATTCTATAGGTTTCAATTGACTTTATATTTTTGCTCTTCAGTTTTCTCACCCAATTCTTATATTTTGTTATATTTCCTGATTTGTGTCATAGTTTGTATAGCAACAGACTTTAACAGTATGGGAAAGGCTATTGGCAGATGCTTGATTAACTTTCCATGGACCCAGTAGAACTGAACCCAGGGCTGGGGGTTCTTTAGCTATTACTTTGCATGAGAGCGTTTCTCACTGTGCTCCCCTCCTTTGAGTCGTAGCGTTAGACATTGCTTATCTCAGTTAAGAATGCTTGGCTCCGGCTCTTACTTTCTCCTTGGGCAGATGATAGTGTCTGCAATCTTTGTCATCTCTTCTACTTTATAACATTACAAAAACTGCTTTAATGTAACTGCTAATTAATCTTCCCTTTTCTAAAATATAAATGTACAGTGTACAAAACAGATAATTTACAATTTGTGGATTCTTTTGCTTATATGAACTGGACCATTTTAATAAATAATGTTCATTATACTTCTCAATCAAACGTAATTTTCATTTCTTCTAGACCAGTAGTTCTCAGCCTGTGGGTTGCGACCCCTTTGGGGGTCGAATGACCCTTTCACAGGGGTCACCTAAGACATAACAGTAGGAAAATTACAGTCATGAAGTAGCAATGAAAATAATTTTATGGTCGGGGGTCACCGCAACGTGAGGAACTGTATTAAAGGGTTGTGGTATTAGGAAGGCTGAGAACCATTGTTCTAGACAATGAAATTTCTAAAAAGTAAAAGAAAGAAAATTAAAATTACTTTATTCTAATACCCAGAGATGACTGTAGTTAAAATGTTGGTATATTTCCATGTAATCTTCATTCAACTTTATATATTTAATTTTTAATGCATTTTTATAATGATATATTCATTAGCTAAGGTTTTATATATTTTTATAATTAGACATTTTATATATAATTATATTTTCATGTAAACTAATGTTTACATATAAGCTATAATTCATGTTATATAGCAGTATTGGGATATTCTAGTAATTTTTGGTACAAGTACAACAAAAAAAACAAAACTAAACTAAAATCAGTTATTCAATAAAACTAAAATAGATCATTTCTAATTATAAAATACACGTGACAGAAATGTAAATATTAGAAAAATAGATCACGAAAAGTGAGTCCTAAAGTTACTTTTCATTCCTGCTTTTAACAATATGTTTATAAGCAATTATTCTTTAAAAAATGTGTCTGTGATTTGATTTGTAGAATGTGCACGCATCTATGAGTGAGTCTGTGAAGGAGTGTGGAACAGATGTTCTTCTGTTTTAGGCTGAGGCAGATAGCAGTGAACCAGAATGCATCTGTGAAATGGTATCTCAATATTTTTCTCCATGCTTTAGGTATGTATTCTTTTTGGATCCATGCAATCTGGACTTGATAAACCGGAAGATCAAGTCCGAAGCACTGTGTGTAGCAGCATGTCCAAGACAAGAACTGAAAACCCTGAGTGATGTTCAGAAGTTTGCAGAGAAAAATGGTGAGACTTTAGGCATCTGAGTCTACACCCCAGTCACTTATTCTCACTGTTAAGATGTGAGAAGGTGTGTTTGCATTCCAATAGAAATTTGCTCTGGTGTTGAGGGGGGGGGGGGGAAGCATCAAAGAACCTTAAAAAGAAAAAGAGATCTCAAAGTACATTTGGACCTCCTTGATATAAAAATGTTATAGTAACCTAGGGAGCTTGTTAAAACTCCAGATTCCTGGGCCCCACCCAGGGAAATTCTGAGTAAGTCTTTGGATGCTGGAAATTTGTATTTTTAACAAATGTCTAAGGTGATTTTGATGTGTCCTATTTGAGTATTTGGGAGTTACTAGACTCATCCAGGTAAAATTGGGGGATTGGAGTGTTTAATTAAGTGTTAATTAAAGTATTTTAATTAGTATATTTATTTTTACCCCTGGATAACAATGTAGTAATATATGTCTATTATAGGAAAATTGAAAAGTTCAGAAAAAAATAATGAAGTGTAAACCAAAGTTCCACCATTTTTCAGTGTGTTGGCGTACATAATTTTGTGTTTTGCCTTTTTAATTTAACATTATGTCTTAACCATTTTTCTAAGAATGACATTTTGAGAAACTTTGAGGTCAAACAGATGGGAATTAGCTGATAAAACAAGCATAGTCAACTTCCTGAACTCTGGCTCTGTTCTCTTGGATTTCGGACGTCCAGGTGCCATCCTCAGCTCCATGTGACTCACCCAAGTTCTCTTCAGATACTTTTTTTTTTTTTTAATCCTCACCTGAGGACATTTTTCCATTTTTTGTTCAGACAGAGTGGGAGGGAGAGAGAGGAAGAGAGAGAAACATTGACGTGAAAGGGACACATCGAGTGGCTGCCACCCGCATGACCAACCAGGGCCAGGGACAAACTGCAACCAAGGTACGTGCCCTTAGCAGGAACCGAACCCGGGTCTCTCCGGAGCGCAGGCCGACGCTCTAACCGCTGAGCCAAACCGGCCAGGGCCTTTTTCTAACTTCTTTTTGTGGAGGGCCACATCCTGATAGCCCTCAAAGCATGTGTTTTTTAACTTCCATGAGGTTTCATGTTTGTATTTTGTGCATGGGAACCCTCGGGGCTGTCTCAGTCCTGCCCACATGCACAGGCTAGCTCTAGTTCTCTGAGCCAAGGCTGACTCAGATATAACTTCTAGCTGGGTGGAGGAACAGCCTCAGGACATAGTGTGCACATGCACATGCTAGTGTGTCTCTATAGTCTTTCGGATGGGGGTGCTAGCCTTCTGAGGGCAGAGAGACAATAGACTGGCAGTATTCCTGTCCACTGCTAAATGCCCTCAGCATTAGGTAGTTGGAAGAGCGTGGAATTGACATGGATCTGGATTCTCATTCTGCTCTGCCACTGACTGGCTCTGTAATGAAGGACAGAAGGTGTAGGCTCTTTGAGCCTAAGTGTTCTCATCTGGTAAAATGTGGATTTCAAATAATGCCCCCCTCATAGGTTGTTGTGAGGATTAAATGAGGTGATGCATGAGGAACACTAGACACTTGGTGGGCACTGAATAAAGAGTATCAACTACTCTTTAAGATCACATTGTCTGTTACTACATCCTCAGATGTGTTGAATCTGATAGCAGAACTATTGGCCTTGTCATTATCAGGTTTCTTAGGGAGGAATGAGTTATTCTTTAAGAGTTTTTCTAAACTCTTAGACAATGTGAGCATGTACAATGTACTCTGGGAGGTGGTGTCACTGAGTGGTTAGGTGCATGGGCTCTAGAGTTAGATTATCTGGGTTCACATGTTGGTCCTTCCACTTACTAACTGTGACACCCAGGGCAAGTTACTTTATCACTCCATGCCTCAGTTTCCCCGTCTATAAAATAGGAATAAGATATGTACCCAACTACCTAATAACACTGTCATGAGGAGTTAATGCATGAAAAATGATTAGAACAGTGTCTGGCAAATAGCATATTGCTTAAAAAAAGTGTTGGCTACTGCTGTTGGGATATTATTTTTATTCCACCAATGGAATGGAATGGTCTTCCCGCCTCCAGTCTCTCTCTACTTCTAGCTCTCTTACATACTGCTGCCATGTTAATATTCCTAAGGCTTCAGTCATGTTAATCCCTTGCTCAGAAATCAGTGGTAAAAGTAATAAAATGAAAGTCTATATGTCTTACCCTGAACTGTCTTCCAACATGATCTCTTGAGCCTGCTGGATAGGAGTCGGGCCCTTGAACCTGATGTCATCTGGAAGGCAAAGGACAGCTAGTTCCTTGTTGGCTGTATTACCTGCTGTGTTGATCCCTAGGGAGGAAATGCCCCAAGCTGCCCTGCTGGCACTTTGTTTCCCGGCCAGGGTCCTTCTAAGTGATAGGATACTGAGGATGGCCTATTAGGGTCCTGGCATGAAGACCCTTCTGTGAGTTTTGCAGCTTTGTATTTCCCACAGGGTATTGCACAAAGTAGGTGTTCAGACATTAATGAATAAACACTATTCCGAAAACAGACCTGTTAAACTGGTACCTAGAGACAAAGGCACCCTAAAGCTTTTGAGGCAGCTATTTGCAAAATGAGTCAACAGATTAGGCATTAAAAAGGTAGTAAGAATGGCAGCATCAAGGAACCTAGCAATAGAAGATGGAGAAGATAATTTTAAAAAGAAAATTGAAAAACTATAAAATTGTAGCAGAGAGGAAGCCCTTGGCACACGGGCCTAAATTCCTTAATTTCAGTAGCAACCCTAAGTTGAAGTTTCTGAATTTCTCAAAATAATCTACATTGTTTTGGGGCTGGTGACATAAAATTGGACCTGGATTTAATTTCAGTACCACATTTGTCACTGAGAGAATTCTTTTCTCTGCTTTTTGCATTATCTTTTTTCCCCTTCTATTTTTCCATTATTTGAGGTGCAAAAGATTTGGAAGGAACAGATAATTTTTATTGTTATCTGTGTCCATATAGTATTACAACTATATTTCTATTAGAAGATATTCAGGCCCTTCGACCTCAAATATACAGATCTCAATCATTAATTTCAGCCCTGGCTGGATGGCAGTTAGTTGGAACATTGTCCCATATACCAAAAGGTTGTGGGTTCGATTCCCATTAGGTTCCATACCTAGGTTGTGGGTTCAACCCCTCTCTGGGAGCAAAAGGGAGGCAACCAATAAAAATTCGATGTTTCTCTCTCTCATAATAAAAACATATCCCTGCCTGAGGATTAGGAAAAAAGAAATAATTTCTTTTATGTGAACCAAAAGCACAAGCAACAAAAGAAAAAATAGGTAAATTGGACTACATCAAAAGTTAAAACTTCTGTGCATCAAAGGATACAACAGAGTGAAAAGGCAACTCATGGAATTGGAGAAAATATTTGCAAATCTTATAAAGGCTAATATCCAGATAGGGGTTAATATCCAGAATATATAAATAACCCCTACAACTAAGCAACAACAAAAAACAACCTAATTAAAAAATGGACAAGGATTTGAACAGACATTTCTCTAAAGAATATATACAAATGGTTAATAATAAGGACATGAAAAGATGCTAAACATCACTGTTCATAAGGAAAATGCAAATCAAAAGCACCGTATGATACCACCTCACACCCAATAGGGTAGCTACTATCAGAAACAAAAAACAAACAAAAACCACAAAACAGAAAATAACAAATATTGGCCAAGGTATAGTGAAATTTATATACTGTTGGTAGGAATGTACAATGGTCCACGCACTATGGAAGACAGTATCGGGTTTCTCGAAAAATTAAAAACAGAAGTACCACAGAGGATTTTTAGGACAGTGAATATACTTTAATGATAGATACAGCTCATTATATATCTGGCCATGCCCATAAAATGTACAACACCAAGGGTGAACCCTAATGTAAACTATGGTCTTCAGGTGCTTATGATGTGTCAACGTAGGTTCATCAATCGTGTCAAATGTACACTCTGGTGTGAGATGTTGATGATAGGGGAGGCTACACATATGTGGGGGCAGGAGGTACATGGAAAAATTTCTGTACCTTCCTCTCACTTTTGCTGTAACTAAACTGCTCTAAAAAATAAAATCCTTTAAAAAAAAATAGATACTGCTCTGGCCGGTTTTCTCAGTGGTTAGAGCATCGCCTTCAGACTAAAGATTTGTGGGTTCAGTTCCAGTCAAGGGCATGTACCTTGGTTGTGGTTCAGTCCCTGGCCCTGGTCAGGGTCATGCAGGAGGCAACCAATCAATGTGTCTCTTTCACATCGATGTTTCTCCCTCTGTCTCCCTTACACTCTATTTAAAGATAGATGGGAAAATATCCTTGGATGAGAACTAAAAAAAAAAAAAAAGATTACTATATGATCCAGAAATCTCATTTTTAGGTGTATATCCAAAATAATTGACAATAGGATTTCAAAGAGATATTCACAGACTTATATTTATTGCAGCATTTTTCTGCCCAGAGATAGAAGCAACCTACCTGTCCATTGATGAGTTAATGAATAAAGAAAATGTTGTATATACATACAATGAAATATTAGCCTTAAAAAAATAAGGAAATCTTGTTACATGCTACAACATGGATGAACCTTAAGGACATCATGCTAGATGAAATAAATCAGTCACACAAAAAAGATAAATATTGCATGATTCTACTTATATGAAGTGTCTAATGTAGTCAGTGGTGGTTGCCAGGGGCTGAGAGTATGGGGAAATGAGGAGATGGTATTCAATTGGTATAGAGTTTTAGTTTTGCAAAATGAAAAAATTCTAGAGATCTGTTGAACAACAATGTGCAGATAGTTAACGCTATTATCCTATACACTTAAGAAATGGTTAAGATGAGCCAGGCCAGTGTGGTTCAGTGGTTGAGTGTCGACCCCTGCACCAAGAGGTCTCCAGCTCCATTCCTGGTCAGGGCACATGCCCAGACTGTGGGCCCAGTCCTCAGTGTGGGGCACGCACGAGGTGGCCAATTGATGTTCTCTCTCATCGATGTTTCTCTCTCTCCCTCTCCCT